GCTGGTATTTTGCCTTATAGTTATGTCTCCACCTGGAGGGAAGAATTTGGAGAGAGTTACTCATGCTTTCTTAGCACTCTTAGGATGGATTACTGCAGTGGTTCCCAAACTTGGCAACTTTAAGACTTGTGGACTTCAACTCCCAGAATTCTTCAGCCAGCTGCAGCTTTAAGGCTTGTGGACTTCAACTCCCAGAATTCCTCAGCCAGCTGCAGCTTTAAGACTTGTGGACTTCAACTCCCAGAATTCCTCAGCCAGCTGCAGCTTTAAGACTTGTGGACTTCAACTCCCAGAATTCCTCAGCCAGCTGCAGCTTTAAGACTTGTGGACTTCAACTTCCAGAATTCCTCAGCCAGCTTTGCTGGCTGAGGAATTCTGGGAGTTGAAGTCCACAAGTCTTAAAGTTGCCAAGGTTGGAGACCTCTGGTCTAATTCTGGGAGTTGAAGTCCACAAGTCTTAAAGTTGCCAAGTTTGGGAACCACTGGATTACTGCAATGTGTTGCATATGGGGCTATCTTTGAAGACTACCTGGATGCTACTATTAGTACAAAATGCAGCCACCTTTCCACTGCAGTAGCATTATTTCAGGCACAGTATTGCCAATGGTCTTCTGATTATAGTTCAAGGGACTGCTTTTAAATGGTAAAAGTCTGCTTTTCGGTGTTAAAACATGAAATTTTGGGTGGCAAGAGACAATATTTTTGGAGCCATTCCTTGACTCCTTGGAGATCAGGAGGGTTCTGTTAAAAGAGAAGTGTGAAAACAGTTATTTCATAGAGCTTTTAATCTATAATGTTTCTGGAATTTTGGACGGAAAGGGTGGATTATTTTTTATGGTATTAATTGTTTTATATGTGAGGTCAGTGGGGTATAAATATTGTAATAGGTATTCAAAACTGAATTTGGGAGTTAATTTAACCATCATTTGGAGTCACGGTTCTTGATTCTCATGATGGCTTATACATAAAAGGCAAGAATTATCCAACGCCACCTTCAAAGCACAGGATATAAAAGATCCCTGGGTTTTTAGAAGAAGAAAAATAGTTTAGAAACTCACATAGGTAACTTGGACCTCACAGCTTCTTATTGTACTTCCTGTACAATGCTGATACTTTTATTTAGCACCCTAGGAGTTTCTCCCATAGTTGTGTATATGTCTGTTTTATAGACATGTTGATGTCTAGAAGTTTCTCCAGGTGATAGTTGTTTGTTTAGGAAAAAAATAATCCAGAGTTTTGAGACTATTGAGATTTTAATCGTGGGGGTGGTTCTATTTTGGTCAAGATGGAGATGTGCTTCTATTCTATGTACTGTCTTCTGTCCTTAGATGACCCTCGCAGCTTCCATCCCTCCAAAGTCTCCAACCACCAGGCAGCTTTCTCAGACAGATCATCGCCTCCCAAGGCCCGAGATCACCTACGTGCCATCTCTAGTAGTCCTGACCGCCGGCCAGGCTGGAGAATTTTGCAGCCGGATCTGTACAGCGAGGGCAAGGACCGCAGGAATTCTGTTGCCAGCCCTACCAGGTTATTTTTCTTTATTTTATTTATTTATCACATTTTTATACTGCCAATCTTACCTAAGTGACTCTGGGCAGTTTACAATAAAAAATGTATTATTACAAATTTGACTAAAAGAAGCTCATACAAGGTTAAGTGCCCCAAAGAGAATCTTGTGATTAAAAACTGAAAACTCTGATTAAAATGAAAAACTTCTAACATACACATACACATGTCATTTGTTTCTGAGCATTTGGAATTTGAAGACCCCACCTACTTAATAATCGTGGCACGCCAAAACCGCGGTAGACTACAGCGCGCCCGACGAAAGCTCGTACGTGACGTCATCAGCAGCGCGACAAAAAAAAT